GCAGTTACGTAAAAACCTATGCAATGTACTAGGCTTAAGTTTCAAACTGTTTTCTCAAAGCAGCGCATTCAGCGCCAGAAAAATTGGATGGGACTGTGAATTACCCACCGTCAAATATTGTACTCTTTCCCTGGCCACGGGTCAGAGCTCCTTCTGCTTTTGTCGCAGAACTTCCTCTGCTTTAATCGCAGAGCTATCCTCCCGCTATTGTCGCAGGACTGCCCGCTGTTATCGCGGATCCCCACCTTATTTTCCTGGGGGACTTACCAGCGCTGCCCTGACTGCAGGAAGTTCTGAGTTCGCGTTTGAGATGGTTCCCCGTACTGGCCACCAGTTGTCGCGTCCCTCGACCAGCAAGGAAGACACGACCCGAACTCTTCTTCAAGCAGTTTATTCAGGAACCTTGAACAAGCTTCTTCTTCCGCCTCCTTCCCTCTCCCATCCCTCTTATAGCCATCAGCACACCAATCAAAAGCAGCCAAGTGGCAAGGATTGATAGGTACAGCAATGCGGAAGCCGGAAGGGAGCTCAGCCATCTCCTTATTAGGAGATGTTTGTTTCTCGCCAGTCCTTCCGGGAGAAAGGAGCCGGCGCCATCTTTAGGGCGCCGTGCAATGGCTCCCCACAGAAGTGGAGCAGCCGAGACTTGAATTGGCACCTATATGGGATGATGGCACTGTAGGCGGGGGCTTTACCTGCTGGCCAAAGCGCCAGCCCCCAGCAAATATATTTCTTGATAAGATTTCATCAACAAATAAAAATTATCTTGCACATCAGGCTTTGTGGTAATAAACTGAATGCCAAATGACCCATTTTGGACAGATTATAAGATTTTTCTATAAAAGCCATCCCAGGATATGACTGCTTGAAAGAGTACCATGTAGTGTAATTAGAAGTTATTAGACAATATACCTAATGGTAAAGTGATCAAAACTTCATATATTCTTAAAATTTCATGTACTAACAGTCCATTGGAAAATGCCAATTTCAAAATAGTTTACCTTTATGTTTTGATAAGCTGTGCTTTCAGACACAATATGGCAGAGGGAGTTTGGATTAGTAGTAGGAGCAGCTGGGGATGGGGGAAGAGAAGGGAAATGGAAGAAACATGAACGTAGACTCTCACAATCATAGGGCAGAGACAGCACCCAGGACCACCCTCGGGAAACCCTTACAGGGATTCCAAAAGTCAGAGAACAGCCCTGAGAGCAAACATGGAACCCACGCTCTCCAGAGCTGGTCCTTTGGGTCTGAAGCTCCTTACTAAGACGCCCATCCTGCACGTCAAGAAGAAAAGTCACAGCGGGCGTCCCTGCTGGATTTGCAGATGGAAGCCATGGCTCTCTTTTCAATGTGTTTATACCAGTTCTTTTTAGTTTTTCTGTCACTCCCACCCTTACCTATGGTAAGCAAATGTGCTGAAACGACACCAGGGGAATGGTTTCAGTAAATTACATTTCCCAGGAAATTACCAACACACTATTTCTTCCTCTTCTCTCCTCCTCCCCATCTCCTCTTTTTTTTCCTTCTCCTCCTCTTCTTCTTTTACATTTTTTTTGCCCTGAGAATACGTTACTCAAGGAAAGTGGGCTCTATCTCTCCAGGGTAGACAGAGCATGTGGCACCCTGTTTGCTACGCTTGCCTGGATGGAAGAGATTGATTATCATCTTTGCTTTTTAGATACTGTCTTTCTTCTCTTCTGTCTTCCCTCCTGCCCCCACTTTCTGTACCTGATACCCAGGTTAAATCACCACAGGGCTGTATTCATTCGCATGATTAGACATCACTCCTCCTCTGTTCACCCCAAATAAGGTCCTCTTTCCCTTGGGCTGTTCATCAAAGTGTCAGGCAGTTGCCAACCATCATGGGATGGGTGGGTCCAGGTTTGTGTCTCCAATGCAAGAAAGAATTTGAGGATGAGACATGGGAACAAAATGTATTTGCATTCAAAGCAAAAGCACATGCTGGAGGGGAAGTACAGGCATACCCAAGAATGAGCTGCACTCAGATGGGTTGGGAGCCATCCTTTTATATGATCTGGAGACACTGGGAGTGGTATCTGGGCTGGGGTTTAACTGAATATTCATAGAGGTTGGGGTTTAGGGACAGAATTTGCACACTACCCATTTCCCTGTCATTTTTTTGGAACTTTGTGAAGTGCCATGGTGTCAGGGACATGATGGGAGTAGGAGTGTCAGCCATGGAAATTTTATTATAATTATATTATAATTAGCTAAAGGTCATCAGAGGGAAGCAACTGGTAGCCATGTTGATTATACTGTGGTTTTCCTCTGCATGGGATGGGGCAGAGGTTGGTCCGAGCAGGTGGAGCTGCAGAAAGGGGCTGGTGACCTCAGCTCCTTGCTAGCTACCTCTTGCCTACATCAAAACCATGGAAGACAGTTTAAATCCCCCAGGAGAATGAGCCTGTGAGAAGTTTTAGCATCCCTGAAGTTATGGGGGGAGGAAGTTAGGCTTATGTTTCTGTAAGCAGATTTATCATCAAATTTTTCTTCTCATGATATGGTTTCATATAATGTATCCTGGAGAAAGAAGTCTTTGTTCAGCAATATTTTCTTCCACTACCAAAGGCTTACTTGTACACTCACTAGTGATAGGCTTCTTGGTATATAACAAATACTTGGCAAAAAAAAAAAAAAAGTATAACACTCTTGATCATTGTAAACTCAATTTTGTTTTATTCTATCATTTTTTATGAAGTATAATACATATGCCTGAAACTGCACAAAACATAAATGGACAACTTAATGAAATATTATAAAGCAAATTTCCATTTAGCCCCCATCAAAGCCAAACGCTAGAATTTGACAACAATGTGTAAGTCCCACCATCCCATGGCACCTTTCCTGTCTTCTCCAGAGGGAACATTCAACCTGACTTTCTTTATTTGTGGATGCTTTCCTAACTCATATTTTGCATAATTTTTTTTCCATTTGAGAGGCAAAGACAGAGAGAGACAGAGCAAGCACTCCCATTCACTAGTTTACTTCCCCAAGTGCTAAGGGCCGAGTTGAAGCTGGGAGCTAGAAACTCAATCCAGGCCTCCCATATGAGTGGCAAAGACTTAATTACTTGAGCTGTCATCTCCCGCTGCCTCCCAGGGTGTGCATTAGCAAGAAGCTGGAATGTACAGTGGAACCTGGACTGGAGCCCAGGAACTCTGATATGGGATACAGGCACCTTTACAGGTGCCTTAATCGCTAGGCAAATGCCTGCTCAGGGGCAGGAAGCACAGGCAGAGAGTGAAGCTTCGCCAGGTGATAATATGAGAAAGGAAAAGAGAGCAGAAGGGAGGGCCAAGAGCGATAGACAACAGAATCCATGCTGGAGATTTTTAACAATAATGCAGAGAAGTTCAATAAGAAAAGAAAGAGTAAGTAAAGGTCTTAACAGGTTGCAAGGAAGGTAAAGGACTGGCGTAGCCCATGAAAACACATGCAATAAAATTAAAACAAAGAGACAAAGAAATCAGAAAAAGAGAAACGAGGAGAGGTTGGTGATGTGATGGCAGGTTGAAAAACTGCTGGCTTGGACACTCTGGCAAAAAAAAAAAAAAAAAAAAAAAAAAAAGGACCTAAATGAAAGATCTCTGTGAGTGAGATCCCAGTGGAAAGAACAGGTCTTCAAAGAAGGAGGTACCTTTCTCTGAAGGGAGGAGAGAACTTCCACTTTGACTATGACCTTGTCTAAATAAGATGAGAGTCGGAGAACTCAAAAGGCTTCCATAGCCTTGGAAACTCATGACTGGAGCATAGGGAGATTACTGATGCCATAAACAGGAGTGTCAGTTTGTAAAGTCAACAACAGGAGTCACTGTGCACTTACTCCTCATGTAGGATCTCTGTCCTTAATGTGCTGTACATTGAGATTTAATGCTATAACGAGTACTCAAACAGTATTTTTCACTTTGTGTTTCTATGTGGGTGCAAACTGTTGAAATCTTTACTTAATGTATGCTAAACTGATCTTCTGTATATATAGAAAATTGAAAATGAATCTTGATATGAATGGAAGGGGAGAGAGAGCGGGAAAGGGGAGGGTTGCGGGTGGGAGGGAAGTCATCGGGGGAGGGGGGGAGCCAATGTAGTCCATAAGCTGTACTTTGGAAATCTATATTCATTACATAAAAGTTAAAAAAAAAAGAAAGAAAAACTGCTGGCTTGTTATGCCAGCATCCGTGCCGGTTTGAATCCAAGCTACTCTACTTCCTATCTAAAGTGTCTGATGTATCTGGGAAGGCAACAGATGATGACCGAAGTGCTTGGATCTCTGCCACCCACCTGGTAGACCAGGGTGGACTTCCAGACTCCTGGCATTGGCCTAGCCTAGACCTGCCTGTTGGAGGGAGTATATCAGTGGATGGAAGATCGATCTCTCTGTGTATCTTTCCCTCTGTCACTCTGCCTCTCAAATAAGTGAAAATAAATAAATAAACCCTTAAAAAGATCCACTGTTGGTGCTGTACATCCCATGTCTTTGGGCAAATCCATAATGGCCTGTATTCATCACTGTGGTATCACATAGAGTAGTCTCACTACACTAGAAGTCCTCTGTGTTTGCCTGTTCATTCCTCCTCCCCCTGGGGCTTCTAACAACCCCTGGTCCTTATTATAGCCTCCATATTTTCCCTCTCTACTTGATGAGATCACGCAGCAAGATTCAGACTGGCTTTTTTCACTGAAAGAATTTCAGATCCTTCCATGTGTTTTCATTGCTTGAGAGCTCATTTCTTTCTCACGCTAAATGATATTCCATTGTCTGTGCCTCCCACAACTGATGTATCCACTCACCTACTGAAGCAGCTCTTGGTTGCTTTCAAGTGTTAGCAAGCATGAATAAAACTACAATGAACATTCACATGCAAGTTTTTGTGGACTCAAAGTTTCCACTCCTTTGGGTAAATACGAAGCAGTGCCATTGCTGACTTGTAGAGTACACGTGTGTTCAGCTGTGTAGGAAGCTGCAAACTGTTTTCCAGAGAGGCTGCGCATGTTGCATTCCAGGAGTCAATGCGAGTTCCTGTTGCCCACATGTTCGCCAGCCGCTAATGCTGCCAAGGCTCTGGACTGTGGCCACTTTAACACGTGAGTAATGACATCTTGTTGCTTTAATCTGTCATTCCCTGATGACACACGATATTGGGAATCCTTTCATGTGGTTCTCTGCCATCCATGTATCCTATTTGGGGAGGGGCCTGCAAAGATCTTTGGCTCATTTTTAAATCAAATGGTTTGTTTTCTTTTATTAAGCTATAAGAATTCTCTGTGTATTTTGGAAACTGTGTTTATCAGATATGTCTTTTGCAAATATTTTCTCCTGGTACCTAGCTTGCTTTTTCATTCTCTTGGCAGTATCTTTCTCAAAACAGAGTTTTAATTTATCAAAGACCAGCTTGTCAATTATTTCCTTCATAGATAATGCCTTTGGCATTGTATCTAAAAACTCAGGCCAAAATCAAGGTCACATAGGTTTTCTCCTGGCCATTTGGGGAATGTACCCGTGAACAGTATCTCTGCTCCCTCTCTCTCTCTCTCCTTCTCAAAGAAAATTAAATAAAATTTAAAAAGAAGTTTGTAGAAAATGGAACTTAAGACAGGTTATTATACGTAAAATTTTGAAATTCATGCACAGTTTTTCCATAATATGTGCCTGTGATGAACCTTTGGAAGACTCTTCATGTATATGTGTGTCTGTGTGTGTCTGTATAGTAGGAAAGAGCTCATCTCCCAGCTAGTTCATGTTTTCCTTTTCTCTAGGGATGATTTACAGATTGGCACGATTGTCAAAGTGAAATATATTAACATTTAGATATTATCTTAATAGGTATGGCTAAGGCTTAATTCATGCTAAAATCTAATCTATAGGGGCCGGCAGTGTGGCAAAGCGGGTTAACACCCTGGCCAGAAGCGCCGGCATCCCATATGGGCGCCGGTTCAGGTCCCAGCTGCTCCTCTTCCGATCCAGATCTCTGCTATGGCCTGGGAGAGCAGTGGAAGATGGCCCAAGTCCTTGGGCCCCTGAACCCGCATGGGAGACCTGGAGGAAGCTCCTGGCTCCTGCTTTTGGATCAGTGCAGCTCCAGCCATTGCAGCCAATTGGGAAGTGAACCATCGGATGGAAGACCTCTCTCTCTCTCTCTCTGCCTCTCCTCTCTCTGTGTAACTCTGGCTTTCAAATAAATAAATAAATCTTAAAAAAAAAAGAAATCTAATCTCCATTGGGAGGTATTAAGAGGATAGGAACTTAATCCAACCATGATGTTTGGAAGAGGGACCTGTGTGAGGTAGTGAAGATTAAATGAGACTTTGAGGCTGGGATACTAATTCAGTGGCACCATGGCTTCACAAGACAAGGAGCAGAGACCCAAGCTACTGGGCTCCTCTCAATGTGCTGCCCTACAGAGAGTCCCCACACCAACAAGGGACCTGACCCAATGCAACTGCCTGATCTTGAACTTTCCAGAACTCAGAACTGTGACCCATGTAACCTTTATATTCTTTACAAATCTCTCAGTCTGTGGAATTCAGTAACAGCAACAGAAAACAAATCAAGACAGATACCACTCACTCATTCACAATCATTTGGATTCCATGAGCTTGGAATAGGATTGTAAAGAAAACTCAAATGGACCTCATTCTCAAGACCTTTCTCTGCAAAGGATGCTGCTCTCTTAAAAACGGCATTTAAAATAATGAATAAATACTACATCAAAAGAAAGCCATTTATCTACTCAGAAAGCATGTGTATCAATTTTTCCAAAGGCACGTGTCCCACCCTGCGGTGTTTTTCTCCCTCCTAGCCTGTGCAGCATTGTTTGTGTGGTGTTAAGCAGATCGCCCAGCTATTCAGCAGGGGCCCTGCTTGGTATAATGTCTTGTTTTCTATGTGCAGATAAATGTAATGCTTTTAAACAACATGCTGTTGCAGCCGCAGAGATTTCCAGCTTTAACAATCTAAGTTGTTGTTTTTTTTTTCCCCCCCTTGTAGCCAGGAACTGGATCAATAAAGTAAAAGTATAATGACTTTCCCTGCTTTATTTTAGTAGGTTATCTGACACTATTTGCTTGTTTAGTCTTAGTCAATATTGGTGTCTCCAGGGAGGTGGAGCTGATAACCTTCCCTAAACCTGCTTCTCCACAATCTGAAATAAAAAGCCAAGCCAAGACAAAAGGACACACGGATGGGGCTAGGGATTCTGAAACTGTCTCTCAAGCAAAATGAGGATGCATGCTAATTTTTATTAGCCTGACCCTTGCTATTACTGAGAGCTGTGGCCGCTGCACTTTCATCTGGGGGTTTTGGTTGTGTCCATAATTAGTTCTCAGCTTTGAGGATGAGTAATACTGGGTCTGTTTTGCAAAGGGGCCAGGCAACCACATGGCTCAGCTGTGGCCCCCTGGCTCATGGCTGTCGGTGCAGGAACGGATTGGAAAGCTCAGACACAATGAATTCTGCTGCGTTTCTCAAACATGAGGAAAATAGGAAAGTCTTCTGTGCATATCCTTATTCTTGGGCCCTGACAAGTGTGCTAGGTGGTGAGGTGGTCGTACACCTCCCTTCCTCCTTTCCTGTAACGTTCCACTCCTTTTTTTCCCTCTCTCCCCTGATTCCTAGAAATGCTCACTTCACAGGATTAAGATCCTTAAAAAATTGCTGGAGCTGCTTGGTATGATTGAGAAAATAAGATTCTGCCTAGAATAATCACTACCCACCTCCACCCTATCCTGTTTCCTCCAGCTTCTGGCTTAATCCAGACAGCCAGTATTCGTGGGTGCTGTTTCCTCCGCATTGGACTTTTCACTATAACCATGACAATGGTTATAAGGATGGTTATAAAGATGTGGAATGATTTCTTGTCAAGAATTAAACATTGCATTTCTTCTCAGGAAGCATCAGCAATATCCTTGCATGAAGAAACCTCACCCTATGACTGTGGTCATTGTCTTGATTCTTGTGTTGTTTTTTTTTTTTTTTTTAAGATTCACTTATTTGAAATGCAGGGTGACACACAAGAGTTCGTCCATCCATTGGTTCACTCCCTCAAACACCTGCAACAGCCAGGGCTGGGCCAGGCAAAAGCCAGGAGCCATGAGCTTCATCTCTCTGAGTCTCCTACGTGGGAGGCAGGGACCCAAGTGCTTGGACCATCATCTGCTGCCTCCCAGCTGCATTTACAGAAAGCTGGATTTTAGAAACTTAGGCAGGATCTGATGCCAGGCACTCTAATCAAGTGTGTCCCAAGAGGTGGCTTAACCCGCTGTGTTGCAATGATTGCCCCACAAAAAAAAAAATGTTGCAAGCTGTAAACTTGGTACCAAGAATTCACTGTGGTTGACATTACTTTGGACCACATGGAACATATCTGTGACATAATAGAGAAAATGGAAGCCGCACCAATTTGAATCCTGGCTCTGACCTTGAGTAGCTGTGTGACCTTGAGCAAGTCATACTACGTCTCTCTCTACTTCTATAAAAAAGAAGTTGAATTAGGTCAGGCTTTGTAGTGTGAAAATGTTCTGATTTCTAGTTTTCTCTCCCACAGGACAATGGCAGAAACCTACGTACAACTGGCAATATGTATGTACAATGGAACAAAATATTCTCAAAACATTATAATTCGCAATTGAGGAAAATATGAGTAGATTTATAAGGAAAATATATAGGAGCTGCCAACAAAATAAACCTTTTAACGCTTTTCCCTCATCTCATCATCTCTCATGGCATTCCACTTAGGAAGTCTCACCCTTCCTTACATGTTTTGTAGAAAAGAAATGAGAGGCCGGCACCGCAGCTCACTAGGCTAATCCTCTGCCTGCGGCGCTGGTACTCTGGGTTCTAGTCCCGGTTGGGATGCCGGTTCTGTCCCGGTTGCTCCTCTTCCAGGCCAGCTCTCTGCTGTGGCCAGGGAGTGCAGTGGAGGATGGCGCAAGTGCTTGGGCCCTGCACCCCATGGGAGACCAGGAGGAAGCACCTGGCTCCTGGCTTCAGGTCGGTGCAGCACCAGCCATAGTGGCCTTTTGGGGGATGAACCAACAGAAAAGGGAGAACTTTCTCTCTGTCTCTCTCTCTCTAACTGTCTAACTCTGCCTGTCAAAAAAAGAAAGAAAGAGAGAAAGAGAAAGAGAACGAACGAACGAAAGAACGAAAGAACGAATGAACGAACGAAAGGAAGGAAGAAAGAAAGAAAGAAATGAAATGAGGGAGAAACCAGGTAATTTTCTGAGGCCAGTTTCTATCACGAGTGCTTTCAATATATTAATCTGCTATTTCAAGCACATTATACATAAAGTCTTTGGAGAAGCTTTTATTTTTATGTTTGTTTTGCTGTGCTTCAAAAATCAAATTGTTTTAGGCACCCAAAGATAGGCATTCAATACACGAGTCCTAGAATAAATTAAATTAAATTAATTTTGTTTTAAATAAATCTTCCCCCTCCATATTTGTGCTCCATTCCTGTTGATTTTTACAAATATTTATTTATTTAAAAAGGTAGAGAGACAGAAACAGACAGAAAGGCTCAAAGAGAAATCTCTGCCCTGTTGATTCAATCCCCAAGTGCTCATAACAGTTGGGCCTGGGTCAGACCAAAGCCAGGAGCCAGGAACTCAAACTGAGTCTCCCATGTGGATGTCAGGGAGCCAACTGCTTGAGCTAGGGTCTGGGTCTGATGCCTTCTAAGGTGTGCCTTAGCAGGAAGCTGAAACTAGACTCCGAGCCAGGACTCAAACCCAGGCACCCCAACAGGGGATGTGGGCATCCCAAGCGGCACCAAAGTCCCACTCCAAGCCCTGGCAATCTTTAAACAACAGACTGAAATATGAATTTATTTACTAGCTTCTTTCTAGGTATTTCTAGACTAACATCTCTTAGCCTGAGTTTATAGTCTACAACTAAGGAGCTTACCATCCCTCTGAATGTAAAATAGGTTTTGAATCCTTTGAATAAAGTTAAAGATGTGTGTCCACAACTGTACAGTTTTTTTCCTGAGTAGACATTTCACTTCTTTTTTCAGAAATTTTAAGATGTCTTATTCTTAAAGGAAACAATGACTCCTAAAAGGATAAGAATTACTGTTCTAGGTATTAATTTAAACTTACTAAACTTACTGATAATGTAAGATTTATTTTTTTAATACATGAAACTTGTATTAAAATTAAATAAAATTTAAATAAACATTATTTAATTTAAAATTTATATTAAAATAAAATATTTAAAGCTCAAATAAAATTTTAAAAATCTGACAAGAACATTTATATTTTCCTACTGTCTTAGCTAAATTACTTGAACTAAGTTCTGCATTTGAACTGCTTGATGCATACGTGTAAAGAGCACCCCAAATTCTGAAATGTCTGCTGTATAGGTTAGAACTCTGACACCAGTGCCAAGGAATTCTATGTGTTTTTTCACGACATTTCTCTTGTGGTTAAAAGTTTACAGGCTACATGTATTGGTCTTAAGAAAAATCCTTTTGACTTTGTGGCGTGATCTTGAAGGTCAGTGGTCACCCTGGAGTTAGTGGGAGGGTAGTGGGCAGGATGATGCAGAAGATGAAAATAGCCTTGATTACAGGACTAGTGCGGGTGGACCATCTGCAAAACGGCCAAAGCCATCGTCATAACAGTAGCTTTCACAAAATTTTAAAAACTGCTACTCTATCCTCATTATTATTGACATATTAAGGAAGACTTTGCTATTCTTTGGAAAGGTATTTATTTTGCTTCCCAGGACAATTCCGAAGAAAGATGAAATAAGTATTTGGAAATGAAGTTTGTTTTCTCAAGTAAGAAATAAAATTCAGGCCGTGAAAATGACACAGACTACTAAATTCACACTGTGGAAACGTAGTACAATATTCAATAATACATACAATCCTCGAAGTTGGCAAGTGCATTTTTATTTTCTCTTTTTAAAACAACTGTTAAATTGTGATGTCAATGCCTTTTAGCTTCTGTTAAAAGAAATCCATGCCATGAGTCATGGCGGCAACATTTCAAGGAACTGACAAGCACCAAATGGTGAAAACGGGACGGTAGATGGAGGAATGTCAATTCTTTATAAGTAGCAGGGAGTTAAAGGAATAGAACCTGACGGGAAGGAAGAGTGCTTGACACAGACCTGTGGGAATCCTGAATTCACACTTAGGAAGCCTGTAAAAACACCCAGAGATGACGCCAGTGAAAGGAAAGGGACTGCTCTTCTGCCTGTGTCTTAAGAGGGCCAGCTGGCGTGTGTGCTTGTGCTGTCCTATGCTCCACGTACAACTACAAGGCCTTAAGTAAACAATCTGTGTTGACAATAACTTGGATGTTTCCTCTCCTCCTGTAGCCATATTTTGTTTTTCTTTGAGAAGAGATTATTGAATTCTTTGAAAAATATATATTCCAGGGGCCGGCGCTGTGGTGTAGTGGGTAAAGCTGCTGCCTGCAGTGCCGGCATCCCATATGGATGCCAGTTCAAGTCCCAGCTGCTCCACTTCCGATCCAGCTCTCTGCTATGGCCTGGGAAAGTGGTAGAAGATGGCCCATTGGCCGGAGCTGCAGCTTACTAGGCTAATCCTCCGCCTTGCGGCACCAGCACACCAGGTTCTAGTCCCGGTTGGGGCGCCAGATTCTGTCCCGGTTGCCCCTTTTCCAGGCCAGCTCTCTGCTGTGGCCAGGGAGTGCAGTGGAGGATGGCCCAAGTGCTTGGGCCCTGCACCCCATGGGAGACCAGGAGAAGTACCTGGCTCCTGCCATAGGATCAGCACAGTGCGCCAGCCAAAGTGCACTGGCCGTGGCAGCCATTGGAGGGTGAACCAACGGTAAAGGAAGACCTTTTTCTCTGTCTCTCTCTCTCTCCCTGTCCACTCTGCCTGTAAAAAAAAAAAAAAAAAATGGCCCAAGTCCTTGGGCCCCTGCACCCACGTGGGAGACCCGAAAGAAGCTCCTGGCTCTTGGCTCCTGGCTTCAGATCAGCGCAGCTCCAGCCATTATGTCCCTGTACCATGTTGGGAGACCTGGAGGAAGCTCCTGGCTCCTGGCTTTGGATCAGCACAGCTCCAGCTGTTGTAGTCAACTGGGAAGTGAACCAAAGGATGGAAGACCTCTCTCTCTCTTCCTCTCCTTCTTTCTCTGTGTAAATAAATAAATAAATCTTTAAAATATATATATATATATATATATATATATTCCAGGGCTGGCACTGTGGTGTAGCAGGTTAAGTCTCTGCCTGCAGTGCCAGCATCCCATATGGGAGCTGGTTCGAGACCTAGCTGCTCCACTTCCGATCCAGCTCTCTGCTATGGCCTGGGAAAGCAGTGGAAGATGGTCCAAGTCCTTGGGCCCCTGCACCCACATGGGAGACCCGGAAGAATCTCCTGGCTCCTGGCTCCTGGCTTTGGATTGGCGCAGCTCCAGCCATTATGGCCAATTGGGAGTGAACCAGCGGATGGAAGACCTTTCTCTCTCTCTCTCTCTGTCTCTCCTTCTCTCTCTGTGTAGCTCTGACTTTCAAATAAATAAGTAAATCTTTAAAATATATATACATATATATTTCAAAAATGTTTAAAAAGTTCTTTTGTGAAATAAATTTTATTAGACTGTGGGCATCCAAAGGCTGTCAACCTGTCCCATCCTCGCTGCTGCAATGGCTGTGAAACACAGAGGGTGAAAAGGAGGCTCTCAGCAAGGAGGAGCTCCCAGAATACCCGTTGCCAACCGAATCGAGCAGGGGCCACAGCACCAAGGACTGCTGAAGACTTGGGTGGGGACACAGGTTGGTGGGGGGTGGTAAAGAGAGAGAAAGGATTAGAAGATGATGGAGGACTGAGAGGAGGAAGGACAGAGTCCTGGCCCAACCAGCTCAGCAGATGCCCTATTAAGTAGTTAATTATTTCCCTTTGATGCTGGCTTTTTAAAAAAATCTTTTATACAACAGTTTTACTGTCTCTGATAATTACCCTGTCTCAGATAACTCTTTTAAATCTAATGAGGCGTGGCAAGCTCTGCTTAACAAGGCAACACATCATTAACTTCTTGCCTCTTTATTTGTCATCTGATCACACTCAATTACTGTATCTCCAGCCAGATAGGCAGCCTGTCACTGGCCGCTGGCAGAACAGGGTGAGGTGACCTCCTGTCAGGGCCCTTAGCCATGGTGCTTAGTAAACACTCATCCTTCCCACAGCCCAGGCGTGCGGGGCCTCCTGTATTGCTGGGTTTTGCACTTACCTCGTAACAAGATCCCTAGGCAAGGACGCCTTCTCCCTCAATCCCTGCTCTCAAGACCTTGCAATGTTTTGTCTCTAAAGACCCTGGTAGGGGTTGGTGCTGTGGTGCAGTAGGCTGAGCCTCTGCCTGTGGCACTGGCATCCCATATGGGCACTGGTTCATGTCCCGGCTGCTCTTCTTCCAAACCAACTCACTGCTTATGGCCTGGGAAAGCAGTGGAAGATGGCCCAAGTGCTTGGGCCTCAGCACCCATGTTGGAGAACTGGAAGAAGCTCCTGGCTCTTGGCTTCGGATCTGCTCAGCTCCAGCCATTGTGGTCATTCGGGGAATGAACCAGTATATGGAAGATCTCTCTCTCTCTCTCTCTCTCTCTGCCTCTCTCTGTCTGTAACTCTATCTCTTAAATAAATAAATAAATCCTTAAAAAATAATAATTAAAGTCCCTGATAGAGAAATAGTGAAAGGGACTCTCATGCCCACTGGGTTTAGCTCAAAGATTTTGGGTCTAGCTAAATTTTTACTACTTGTGTGATGCTTTAGACAAACTACCTACCCTCTCTGAACCCGTTGATACAAAACAATAACATGATATTTCTGAGAGTTGTCTAGAGGTTGTAATGAGGTCATTGTTATCTACGTTACCCAAGTCACATAACCCTGGGAAAAAAAGTAAATAGGAAAATTCCTTCTTGTCTACTTTTGGAATGAGTCATGGTATAAATAAATGGAGATTCAAGACACTACCAATCAGAGGGACATTTTTAGGGCAGTGGTTAAGATACCTCTGAGGGACAATTGCATCCTGTACTACAGTGCCTGACTTAAGTTCCAGTTTCCTCCACTTCCAACCTAGCTCCCTGCTAATGCACACCCTGGGAGTCAGCAGGTGATGGTTCAAGGACTTGAGCCTCTGCCACCCATGTGGGAGGCCCATATAGTGTTCTGGACGCCTGGCTTCAGCCTGGCCCAGCCCTACCAGTTGTGGAAATTTAAGGACTGGACCAACAGGTGGAAGATCTCTCTCAACTTCTCTCTCTCTCTCTCTCTCATCTCTCTGCCTTTCAAATAAAATGAAGATAAGGAAATTAAAATTTTAAAAACCACTTTGTCAAGAATCTGTTTCTTTAGATCTCCTCTCTCAGTACAACCCAATGACCTCCTGGTGTAGCTTTGGGGAATCTCTTTGGGATTTACTTTTCGGCATCTTGCCAAGTTGCAGGCCGTGTGCTGCATGGCCTTTGTGAGAAGGGTGGTCTCCGACTTGGGCAGCTCATCTTCTGATATATGACACTTGGGGAATTGCAAGGGCCCATTGGAGATGTTAGCCTGGCTTTTGTCACTTCCTTGGCCTGTGGGCCCCAGAGGAATTACTTATAACGGAAGTGGAGGTTTTGCAGTGAACTTCGCTCTGTCTGAATGTGGCAGAGAGCTGGGATTTCACGCACAGAACCATCTCTGTCTATCGTCGCTTCATACCCCTCTTCTTGCTTTGTCACAGTCCTAGAGTTGTCTGTTTCTGCAAGTGAGCTTCAGGAGCGAGGTCACAGAGAAAGCTCTCCATTTTCTCAGGAGGACTGCAGGCCTTTGAAATCCATCTCAAACATATTTCTTTTCTGGGTCAGTTTTGAGCATGTATTTAGGGGCGCTACAAGGTCAAGGTTGAGCCACTTGTCACCTGTTCCCCATGTCACCATGCTGTGAATCTGTTCAGTTTACAATAAACACTGACAAACTACACTTCCACGCCTCATAATCTGGGAAGACCACTGGACTCTGACTATTCACACTCCCTTCCTTGGTGCAGAGTAGAGGACAACGGGGAGAAGAAAATGTATGGGGTTCGTTTATAAAAACGTC